TCTCTGTCTGTCTGTTTGTCTGTTTGTCTCTCTGTCCGTCTTTCTGTCTGTTTGACTGACGACCGACGGAGTGACTGCGTGGATGGTTTGTCTGTCCGTCCAGAGATATAGCTTTTGCATAGGGACCCAAAAAGCACATAAGCATAAGCTTTTTATAAGGGGATGTATATGGGATATCCCTATCCTAATTTTTGCTTATGTGTTTTTTTGGGGCCCTATTTGCATGGAGATGGACCAGGCTGTTGAGCCCTTCACTCTAAGCCTGTCGCCCGAGAGAACTAGGGAACCGATGCCCTCAACCCCAAACCCTAAACCGACTAGGCCCTAAACCCTAAATCCGAAACCTTAAAACCCTAAATCCGAAACCCTAAAACCCTAAATCCGAAACCCTAAAACCCCAAATCCGAAACCCTAAAACCCCCAAATCCGAAACCAACGGAACGAATCGACCTGAGGCGTTGCTCCCATCCGGGCATGGCGAAGTCTGCTCAGGTGCACAGCGGAAGAGTTGGGCTTCAGAGGGGTTTACGACCGAAGATGCCGAGTTCCGAGTTTCGGGAGAGATTAGCTTAAGGTTTTAGGGTTTAGGGTTTAGGGTTTAGGGTTAAGTATGCCATGTTGGAGCCTTGTCCATGGAACATGTCCGGTGGCAGGGGGTCAGACGGGAGGTTCTTGCATTTTTCTGTGTTTTTCCAGGTACAAAATCCTGGTGTTTAGGCGGAATCTCGGGGAAGACTGCGCAAGATCGAGGTATTTGTCCCGGCCTGCTGCCGGAAATCTGGCTCAAACAGCCATGTTTACAGTGCCTCCTGTGGGATGTGTGAAATTGAAATACACCAAGTGCAGTATAGTGTCCCCGAACCTTCCCGCTAGCAGATATGCTAGATGCCATCTACGACATACTCTCGCCAGGCCTACTGACTTTTGCCTATACTGTCTGCTTAACGGCATCTAAAAAGTAAAGCGGTAAAGCTTATTGTTATTCTTGTCGCCCGCGAGCCTGCTTCTGATTCTTTCGTCGCCGTTTAGCAAAGACGGCCGCCAGCCGAAAGCGGGGGCGGCCGGCAGGGAGCCATGGTCTTGGAGGAGATTCGGCGCTTGCAAGTTTAGGGCTTTTTTGTTTAAGGTTTGAGGGTGTAGGGGTTGGGGTCTACGGTTTAGGGGGCTTCGGATTTTAAGGGTAATTCCCCTAGCTAGTGTTAATTCAGAGTTGTGGCTTATGTCTTGAGGTTGCAGAATTCTTGGATCAGGATCGTGGGAGTTCATTGCTCTGTATCCTATACATAGGCAACTAGGCTCAAACTGTCTTGACCATGTTTTCGTTTCGTAAGTTGCCTGTTCATTGAAACAAGCGATTGACATCAGGTCGCATCCGGCATGGGGTTCGAGTGGCCAGACCTGACAGAATGCTAGGTTATGTCGGTTATGTCCTGAGACTACGTATAGTACCGGGGTCCGACCCCTCAATACAGTAGATTATTGGATCCTAAACCCCATAACTATATCTTTGAAGCATTAGGCTACGACTTTCTCATTTTCGGTCAGCAGGTTGTTTAATTAAGCCAGGGCTCCAGCAGGAGCGGTTTGAGGATTTGTGATTGGACAGACAGAGTCGGCATGCTCAACAAACGATTCCGTAGGCACAAGAATAGGGTTATTACGGTGTTAAGCAGCTTTTGCTGGGTTACGTGTTTACATGCGGTTTCGACAGTTTCTCCACAGGGCGTATTGTATTGTGCTCATATCATGACTTCATAGGGTTTGACAAAGACAGGGCTAAATCTAAGACCGCAAGCAGTTTCGAGTTCTTAACTGTGAATCCGGAATGAGGGCTGTGAGGTCGCCTCCCTTTTGCGGATTGCATTTTCCGCATTTGAGGCATTAAAGGCCCCTCACAGTATCCGAAATTCTGAGCCGCGACTTCGCAGCAGAAGCACCACAAGCAAAGCTCTCAACCCGAGACGTTAAAGCCCTGGATGCCTAAAGCTTGAAATCGCATAACGCGTTTGCTCCCGAAACCAATCAGCCCTAGCAAAAATCTACAGCAGAACTAAAGTGGTACGTCGCAAACGAAAACTCTCTCTGCGTGTTCCTGAGCTTCAGAGATTCAACAACTAGGCCGTTTCGGTTGCAGGTGGAGGGCTCAGGCAGGATGTCGTTGTTTTTACGCTTTAAGGGGTTGAGGGAAAAGAGGGTGAGATTTCAGGTATAACATAGGGATAACATAGGGAATGAATAATGCCCCCTTATTATCATTATAGTCCGTATATAGCTATGGTAAGACTATGTCCAGGAGCAGGTCGAGATGGTGTTGTTCGAAGTGGAGGTGCTGTCCAGTGACGACTGTGCAACTGGCCTACTCCAGCAGGTCTCTAGAGTGTCCTTTGGGTACATGGAGGATCATGGGACTT